TAAGAGATATTAAAGGAACTGTATACTCTAGAGGGTTTCCTGGATAAGAGATATTAAAGGAACTGTATACTCTAGAGGGTTTCCTGGATAAGAGATATTAAAGGAACTGTATACTCTAGAGGGTTTCCTGGATAAGAGATATTAAAGGAACAGTATACTCTAGAGGGTTTCCTGGATAAGAGATATTAAATGAACTGTATACTCTAGAGGGTTTCCTAGATAAGAGATATCAAAGGAACTGTATAATCTAAAGGGTTTCCTGGATAAGAGATATTAAAGGAACTGACCAACCTGTAACAGGGTTAGCTGTGAATCTGACCAACCTGTGGCAGGGTTAGCTGTGATCTGACCATGTTGTGACATGGTTTGCTGTGATCTAACCATGCTGTGATAGGGTTAGCTGTGATCTGACCATGCTGTGACAGGGTTACCTGTGATTAGACCAACCTATGACAGGGTTAGCTGTGATCTGATCAACCTGTGACAGGGTTAGCTGTGATCTGACCAACATGTGACAGGGTTAGCTGTGATCTAACCAACCTGTGACAGGGTTGGCTGTGAAGAGAACCCCAGCAGAATCTGCAGGAACCATTCTCTAGAAAAGGAAATGAATTGATTCTTCAGTTTGTTCTTAGTCTTGAAAAAGTATATTAAATATTTTAATTTGCTCGATATCAGAATGAGTTTAATAAGAAAAAACTCTGATTTTCCAACTTATTTTTAAAATATTATAACTAAACAACTTACTTGTATTACTACTGCCATATTTGAGACCAGAGGCTGACCATTTTGTCTGAGTATTTTCAAAACTTAAATTCAAAAAGAAAATAATATTTATATTTTTGATTTACCTTCTGTAGAGAACAGATCTGTACGCATATTGTGATGCTAAACACTTTTCAATACTCCTGCGTAATTTTAGATATTAAAGATATTGGCCATCCTTCTAATTTTAGATATTAAAGATATTAGCATCCTTCTAATCTTCTTCAATTTTCTCTCTTATTCAGTTTTAAAACATATTAAAGATATTAGGCATCCTTCTAATTTTAGTTAATTTTCTCTCTTATTCAATTTTAAACATATTAAAGATATTAGGCATCCTTCTAATTTTAGTTAATTTTCTCTCTTATTCAATTTTAAATATGTTAAAGATATTAGCCATCCTTCTAATTTTAGTTATTTTCTCTTATTCAATTTTAAATATGTTAAAGATATTAGCCATCCTTCTAATTTTAGTTATTTTTTTCTCTTATTCAATTTTAAATATGTTAAAGATATAAGCCATCCTTCTAATTTTAGTTAATTTTCTCTCTTCTTCTATTTTTTATATCAAATATATTCTTGTTTGCCGTTCTTTCAATTCTGGTGATTTTTCGCTGACATAAGCAATCCATAACTTTGTCCTTCATTCATTGTTTTAGAAACTTTGCATTGTAAAGATATATTTTTACCTCTAATTTAAAACCTTTTACCCAATGGACTAGATTTGAACTATTGCCTTTAAATGTTGTTAACCCTGCAAATACAAAGCTGTGTTCCAATCTTTAAATAGTATTCTTTCTCTTGGAGATATTTAACTGTTACTTTTATTACAACTGGTTACAAAAATTCAAAAAAATAAACCAGGAAACACTCATTTGCTTCTCATAAAAAATTATAAAAGGCATCGCTGTTCATCGATAAAGTAACTTAAAAAATGAATGGTCACTAAACCTACAGAATTAATCTTTAATCTTCAACCTTAGCAGAGGATTTTTTCCGTGAACTCCAAGTATAGTTTCATTCTGTCCTGCACAACTAGTATCCAATCCATCCTCATCCACTCCACTAGATCTAGAGGACAATATATATATATAAATATATACATGTACTGCACAACTAGTACATATATATACTAGATATATATACTATGTATATATATATATTGATTTACATATATAAACTTGTATCTAATCCGTCTTCATCTGCTCCACTAGACCTAGAGTACAAAATATATATAGTATCCAATCCGTCATCATCTACTCCACTAGACCTAGAGTCTCTCGATATAAATCTAACACATTCCTTTAATATAACCCAAACACAGTCACTTACAGAAACATAAAACAGTCCTTTTAATATAAACCTGACACAGTCCCTTCAATATAAACCTGACACAGTCCCTTCAATATAAACCTGACACAGTCCCTTCAATATAAACCTGACACAGTCCCTCCAATATAAGCCTGACACAGTCCCTTCAATATGAACCTGACACAGTCCCTTTCTTATTGACCTGACAGCTAGTTTCTCCGACCAAATATCTCCAAAAACTGAGTTTCCAACCATCTCCAGGTTCTCCAGGATACTCTCCGTAACTCCAGAACCTAGAGGTAGGATAATTTGACAATGTTCTTATGATTTGACTAGATTTACAATTTTATACTGCGATATACAGTTAAAAACAAAGTTAATTAAATGTTCTCTAGTTTTGTAAATATATATAAAGTTGAATCTGTTAAACTTTAATAGATGCATATCTTAGGTTTTACCTCACATAAAATAAAAAGTTGTTTTTTCCAATTTAATAATTTTTATTAAAAGAAAGAGAAAGAAAAACAATTACACGAATTACACACTTTTAAATCCTAGAAAAACGACAGATAGGAATACAGTGTTAATACTTTTAACCTAGAAATACGACGGATAGGAATGCAGAGCTAACACTTTAAACCTAGAAAAACGACAGATAGGAATGCAGAGATAACACTTTAAACCTAGAAGTACGACAGATAGGAATGCAGAGCTAACACTTTTACCCTAGTAATACGACAGATAGGAATCCAGAGTTAACACTTTTAACCTAGAAATACGACAGATAAGAATGCAGAGTTAACACTTTAAACCTAGAAAAACGACAGATAGAAATGCAGAGTTAACACTCTAAACCCAAGAACAACGACAATAACTTCCACATTATTAATCAGTGAAAGGTTTCAAGGCAGTTTGAAGGGTACTGTTGTATATCAGGCATTGTCATCTTTATATAGAGGGTAAAATTACACCTACAGACCTACAGACCTACAGTATGCCTCAAATGTTTAACGATAAGGTATTATTATTATTTGTGTAATCACCTGTTATCTGGTTTACAACCTTGTTACAGATTTCTTCTAGAATATTCGAATCCTGCTCTCCAGATCTTTCCAGATTATCTTTATTATTTCAAGAAACATTCAGCATCAAAGTTTTTTTTTGTGCGAATCTACAATCAATTTTAGGGTTGAGTACAAATAAAATGATAAAAGAAAGGTTTCGATTGGGAGGTTCATTCAATTTGTGGTTAATACAATAAAATCTAACGAAATTTGCTGTGAATAATTCAAATAATTTTTAGGCACCTTGATAAATATTCTGTATCGTTTCTTATTCCTAGAGCTGAGGAGATTTCAACGTGGTTTTCTCTGCAGAGTTTACTGCTTAGGGTGGTAGTTAGAACTAGGCCAGGGGGTACAGAAAACCCGGATTGGGACAGGGTTCCCAGAGAACATCCTTTACCTCCAACTATGGTAAAAAATTATAATTTAACTCCATTTGGACAAAGAACTTCTACAGTAACATGTTAATTTAAATGCTTTTAGGAAAGGCCTACCTAATATTTACGTTTTTTATAAATGATCAGACGACAGTGTAGTTTTAAAAAAATAAATTTTTTACATTAATCCCTCTCCGCTAAACCCCTCTTTTCTTTCGAACTGTGTACTGCGATTATACCATAGAGAGCTTAGTTTAGGGTGAAATAATAGTTCCCAAAGACGGAAAACCAAATTAAACCTTCGAATCGACAGTATTTAAGAGTTTTAAAAAAGTCATCTGGGTATTCTAGACAATAAGTATAATTCGAGCTTTTCCAATGGCACAGTTTTTTTTACATTTGACCTTTTATAGTATGTTTAAGCTAGCTGGGAAACCCAGCTTTGCTTGGAGAAATAATCAAACTACTTAATTTATAATTTTTAAGATCAAGCTAGAACATTCCCGTGGTTCTACCGAGTTCCACAATCAAAATTAGAGGCAAATTAGTTAAAGGGTCATAAGATATGATCGGATATTAAAAAAAATAAAGAAAAAAAGAGAGATTACTATTTTATAGATACTGCCCTGCACTATAGTTTTCTACCTAGATGTTTCTGTAAACACTCAGCATCTTGAAAAGTTACAATTTCAGCCTTCACATCAAACTCGTCTTCCTGTTTTACAACTTGTTCTTGAAGGAGGGGAGGTGAGAGATTAGAACTGTACTTAACAGTGTCCTCGGAGTCAAGATGAACCTTCCCCAGAGACCTGGAGATAGAGACTATCCTGCTCTCCTCATCTTAACCAAGAAAATATTTCTTTAAAACAAGCAAATCTGTAAGAATTTTGCTCAATTATTGAACCAATTATCAAATATGGAGTGATTTTCACATTGAAGAAATAATAATAATATCAAACTTACAATGGTACTCTTAAATGATGGAGTTATTCATCTTTTCCCATATCAAATTGATTATTTTTAGTTGCGGTTCTCAATACAAGTAACTTGTGCCGGATTTATATAGTTGGAGGTATGGGAATAAATGTTGAGAAATGATATGTGTTAGAGACAGTCAACGAAAAAAATTAGAATCTAAAATAATTCCCGTGCCTTGATACTGATCATCTTGGAGCCTTCTCAGTTTTGTTCCATACTTCCCGGGATAGAATAGAGCAGATCCGTCCTGGGAGAGCAGTACTATCCGCCCTCCCAGAGTTGAGATTATCTCAACCTCGTCCTGATTCCTCGCACTCCATCCTCGTGCACCTCTTTATTAAAACATATATTTTTAACTGTTTTGAGATAAGCAACTTCAACAAGATAAAAAATGACTATTCAGAAAAAATACAAGGGTTCATAACAAGGAGTATGAAATAGAAAAGGAAGATACAACTGACGCGGCCCGCCCTACCAGATTATACATGCTTTGCAGACGGGTACTCCATTTGTGATAAGAAATATTTAGAATAGGTTATTGTATACGCGGTAATTGTTACATCAGACCTGAGATAAGAGAGTTACAGAGATAGATTAACACATATAATATGCGATATTTTCCACAGCATGTTCTATTGTGTACAAGTACTGTACACGACCAATCAGGAGACATCTGTATTCAGGGATATTTATGAATCCTTTGAATAGAAAATGCAAAATCTTTAAAAATAGGCAATGTTCATAAACGTTATATTTTATGTTTAAAATTGGAGTATTTCTTATAAAGTTGGAAAACTTAACCCCTGAATGCAACAAGTGGCCGTTAGATGTCAGTCAAAATATATTACATGGAACCGTAGCATGGCGTGCCGGAACACTATAGGCCTGCTCAGCCTATTTCTTATTTAAATGAAGTATCCGTCTGCAAAGCACGTATAAACATATATATGGTAGGGAAGGTCGCGTCAGTTCTATTCCATACTCCTTGGTTCATACTCCTTGGTTCATACTCCTTGGTTCATACTTGTTTTTGTAATTCTCTTGTTAGGAGCTGTACGTAAACGAATTTCTCCAGGGAAACAATTAAGTACAGGATTATTATAAAATTTATAACATTTTGTATTTTCATTCTCAGGAGCGTATACTCGAATTTGTAGAAAGTGTATACCCCCTGTATACTCCCTGATCATGGGTTACCTGAAATGAAATTCCTTTTCCTCCGAACCCTTGAGAATTGTTCCTACGGCTGAACCAAACTGCACCCAACCCAGGTCTAGGTTTATTGGACAGTTTAGAACTTGGAAGAAAAAATTGAACTTGACAAACTCTGTCTCCTGGTTCATCAATCCTGAGAAGGAAACCCTGGTTCTCCGACATGGTTCTAAAATCTCCACCTGTAGTTTACCACATGAAATGATTTCCTCCGTACTCTGACAGGTTCCGGAGCAACTGTACTCTTCTCCGTCCTGACGAAGGAGAAGTTTAAAAACAGATCGATTCTTCTCTGGGAATATTTGGAGATCAATGCAATCTTTTCCAGTCTCATCTACAGGTCAGTTTCAATACTTTTATTATCCTTGTTCTAAGATATTTACTAGACAATTTTCCAGTCTCATCTACAGGCCAGTTTCAATACTTATATTATCATTGGTCTAAGATATTTACTACACAATTTTCCAGTCTCATCTACAGGTCGGTTTCAATACTTTTATTATCCTTGGTCTAAGATATTTACTAGACAATTTTCCAGTCTCATCTACAGGTCGGTTTCAATACTTTTATTATTCTTGGTCTTAGATATTTACTACACAATTTTCTGTTTACAATAAAAAAATGACAAAACTAGAATTCCAAAAACTTTGAGTTTTCTTTAATGCAGTCTGCAATTAGTATTTATTAATGGAAAGAGATTGATATGAAACTTGAATGAAAGCCGCGTGAAAAAGATTTTTAAAAAATATTTTGGCTATAGTAAGACTCATAAAACTGTGGAGTTGGTAAACGACTGTTAGACAGAAGTTAGGATTTCATATCGTCCGTCCAAGAAACATGAAATACAGCATTTTTCTAGTTTACACAGACCCTGTAATCAATACGTTTTTGTCAAACTACTGGTGTTTGGTTTATAATAACATAAAATTCACATATGATTGCTAAAATGTCGTCTTCCAGTTTCCACAATTTTTATCGGGTTCACTTTTACTTTCCTGTTTTTTCAGATATAAAATTAAAACCTTCCTTGTGCTAAGATATAGAAAATTCTCTTCTCCTTAAAACAATCCCGCTTTTCATCCTCCGAAGACGGAACGAATCCCAACTTTACTCCGTCAAACTTCTCCAGGTGCTCTCCAGGATACAGCCCTGCGTACAGGACGGAGAATATCCGAGTTAGTCTCTTTGGCCAGAGAAAGTAGAGGGTTGGGAGAAGGATAAGAATATATATCATGGTGTAGGATGTTGAGTAGAACGGGAGAACTGAATTATTCTCTTATCTATATTAACTGGACTGTGTGGTCAGGTGTTCAAATATTATTTACGAAATATCTAAATAATAAATATAAGAGACTGTCTCGGGTATTTAGTGTGATAGAATAATTTGTACTTTGGTTGATAAACAAAAAAAACTCAACATGTGCCACAAACTCTAATTTTCTAATTCCTATACTTTTTCAACCTACTGTCGTAGACCTTTGATGTTTTATACTATAAATTCTAATAGATTAAATTGTCAAAGTTTGAAATAACAAAGGTTTTCATTATAAGGATGCCATGATATGAGGAATAGGAAATTAGAGCTTGTAGCAAGCACTTGGCGTTTACTTCTTTTACTGAATGTGACAACTTACTTTTCTGCAGCTTTTTACATGTACATTTTAACACTATACATCACTTGTTGTTAGCTTTGGATTTAAAAAAGTAATTGGCAAAATTCTCTTAGATTTTTTTGCCTCAGAGCTTGAGACCTTTGAATCACAGTGAAGTTAAACCGATAAATTAGAACTTTGGCGAGTATTTAGTTCCTTTACTTGTAATATGATAACTTATCTAGAGTCTCTAGAGACAACAAATAGAGTACGTTTCATTCACCTTTGTATGGAATACTCTTAGGGAGACATCTTTTTAAAAAAAAGCTGGGGAAAAAAATTCAAGTTGAAAGATGCCATTTCAGGACAATTTGAACGTTTAAATATTGGTTTTGAGAAAATACAGCAAGCGACAAATATATCCATAGAATTATTTGAAACACTGTTGGTTTCATTTGGATGCAGTTTTGATCATTATTTGATTATTATTGATTATTTTTTATTTATAACTTTCAACCAAAAACACACCAGATAATCCCAAAACCTAAAAACTATGCAAGACGACATTTATGAAAATATTCAATATTGTTAACTCCCATTATTGCTTCTTATCTTCAAAAATCAGTGAAAGAAATGTTGTAGATTTCGAACAAATAAGAGTGAAAAACATTTATTTTCAATGCAAAAATGCGATTAATAGTTTTAATTTTATTCAGGACTGATCAAGGATTTCAATCTATATCTAGGTTGGATTCATGTTTTAAATCTATCTCCAGGACTGATCAGTGTTTCAAGTTTGTCTCAAGGTATCAAGGAAACTAATCGTTATCTAGGATGGATCAAGGTTTCCAATCGTTATCTAGGACGGATTAAGATGTTTAAATCTGTGTCCAGGACGGATCAAGGTTTCCAATCTGTATCCAGGACGGATAAAGGTTTCCAATCTGTGTCTAGGATTCCAATCTTTCTGCAGTACGGATTAAGGTTTCTAATCCATATACAGGACGGATCAGATTTCTCAATCTTTATCCAGGATAAAAATTTCTAATCTTTTTTCAAGACGGATCCAGGTTTCAGTACCTTTATCTAGGACAGATCCGGGTTTCTAATCTTTGTCTAGGACTGGTCCTGGTTTCCAATCTATGTCCATGACAGATTTAGGTTTCAAATCTGTATCCAGGATGGATCCAAGATTCCAATCCGTATCCAGGGCGGATCAAGGTTTCTCATTTTCATCCTAGACGGATCTAGGTTTCCAATCTTTTCATTGTATGAAAACCTATTTGATTCTAAGTTCTGTATTTTTTGTATTAATAAACTTAAAATTCTTGTAATGAAGATAAAATGGAGGATGCAGATAACATTATTTTTCAAACCGTTCAAGATCTTGGAATTGAAGTACAGGTACAGGTACAGGTACAAGTACAGGTACAGGTACAGGTACATGTACAGGTACAGGTACAGGTACAGGTACAGGTAATACAATTATTACAACATGTGACATATTGCTCTCAACTTTGATTTTGAATTATATTATCATTAGTATCAGGGGCGTATTTAGGAATTTGTCTAGGGTGGGGGCTTAAATTTTTTTTATCTTTCCAGGGGAGGGGGGCTCAGCACCCGTTTGGGCCTGAAAACCCCCTGAAAACAATAGATTTCACTTTTCCAGGGGGAGCTTAGACCCCATAGGCCCCCCCCCGCTGAATACGCCCCTGATTAGTATTGTTATTATTATCATCTTTTTATGCATATAATGTTTAGGAGAAGAGTGTTGGTGACCTTAAAACTGAAAGTATAATAAGAATAGTTTCTGGAATGATTAATAAAATAGATTCAGAGATTTCTCTCCCAACCAGGTTTGCAGTTCTATTTTCATTTTTATTGTCTTTTTAACCTAAACAAATAGTTTCATCAGTTTTGAATTTTGTCAAAATTCGTTATTTATTAAAAATCTTGTGATAAATAAATAATTTTAGGTTATATATTTATAGTCTTAAAAGGTTTCTGAAGTTTTTTCAATATATTTTTTTAAGAATAAAGGTCAAGTCAGGAATTTTAAAACACGACTTATAATAATTTAGGTTTCCCTCAGGAATGAGCGCTAAGTTCAAAGCTGGAAAAAAGATGGCGGATGTTTGTACAAATCTTGGTTTCACAGGTCATTGGGTTCGGCCATTTTGAATTTCATGATAATAGTTGGCTACTTCCAGCCATTTTGTTTTGATTTTTAAGAATTTTGAACCAAAATAGCTTCAATATGAACATAACACAAAAATGTGGTTCCACAATTGATCACTGGAAAACCACAATAAAATTTCTTTTTCAGGAGAGATTGGATACCAAACATTTTTGTATCCAACAGAGCGGGATATACGGTCCCTACTCATATTCCTAATGGATAAATTACCAAGGTGAACAAAATACTACTTTTTAAAAGTTCTTTGGAGGTGTGGGGTAGGAAGGGAAGGGTACGGAGGTGAGGGGAAGGAAGGGAAGGTACTGATTGTTATAAACATCCTGAAACATCAAATGATTATGCCATCAAATCATCATACCCTTAAAAGAACAAACATATGTAATAAGCAGTTGACCATCATTCCGTAGAAGTCATGGCTGTGTCTCTATTAAACATAATCGTAAATATTGTACAGTTAAAACCGAAATGAGCCATACATCGAAAGAATTTATCAAATGTCGTCTTGAAAATTTTTCAATGGTTTTTTTTTACTATTTTACGTAAATCTGAATTACAGTATTTGCGAAAAAAAAAATAAATAGCCATGAATATGCGGGAACAGTTTTAAAGAGTTCCATATACTCATTTAATTAAAAAACTTAATATCTGCAACATTCCATTATCAGAAAGTGAAGAATACGACATTTGATGAATTCTTTCGATGTATGGCTGATTTAGAGTTTAACTGTAAAATAATTTTGGGTACAAAACAAGTGTACTGCATGGAGTACAGAGTACAGTCCTTGAATTTGACTGGTCTTAATGGGACTGCCCTTCAAATGTCAAATGACCCTCCATCTAATAAGAGTCATGTTCCTTCACAGCCCCTTTGATTAAGAATTTTTATCGTACTTGTTAAAAGTGCAAGGTCATGATTGTACAACGCGAAAACCCGATGAAGTCACCTTGAGCGCTGTAAACAAACAATATTACGTTAAACTAAAATAAATTGAAATATTTTATGTTTTTAAACATCACTTCTCCTATTGATAAGCTATTGAGAAGAACAAATTTGTTTGGTATTTTTAATATGTTATCAAATAAACTAGAGGAGGTATGCGGTCACAAAGTTGCATTAGTCATGTTCAGGGAGTAAGCTAAGGAATAGAAGGGAGATATAACTGACGCGGTTCACCCTACCATATGATTATACAATATACTTGCTTTGCAGACGCGTACTCCATTTGTATAAGAAATATTTGTCTGATGTACAATTACCGAGTATACAATAATCTATTTTGAATATTTCTTATACAAATGGAGTACCCGTCTGCAAAGAACGCATAATCATATGCTAGGGCGAACCGCGTCAGTTATATCTCCCTTCCATCCTTACTCCCTGGTCATGTCGCCTAAATTTTACATTCTCTTTTTGTCCAGTTTGTATTGATATATCATATCTTGAAGGGAGGTGGAGGAGGAGGAGGAAGAAGATATTTCTCCTTATCTTACACTCCGTAGAGACGCTGGGAGAGTTCTCAGAAATCAGGTATAAATCAGGTTTATAAAGAATATTTAATATAAAACCTGTTTTGAATAATATTTTTATTGTAAATTATGGTTTAAAAAATATTTTACCACGATTTTTCTTAACAGCTGTCATATCTCAACATTAAAAGACTTAAAAACAACAAAATTATGTTTTATTGCCAAAACAGTCGTACAGGGTTACCCAAAACAAAATGAGACTACAGAGACGACCTGAAGTTCAGATAATATGAAGATTGCAAGGTTAAACTAACTCTTCTTCCTTAAACATAATTATTCAATTGCTTATTTAATACATTCCGTACAGTCGTCTCTGAAGTCTCATCCTTTGTGGGTAACACTGTAATTATTCAGACATTCTAGGTTGCAGACAGAGCAAATCAATCCGTTCGTGATTCATTGATTGAAAGAATACCAAACCCGTCCGAATGTGATTCTTTCTGCTCCTGCTCAGATTGTTTTCCAGACTTTACATTAGGTAAAGAACCTGAACTTGAAACTTACCTAAAATTCCTCTCAGGGGTGTTTACATTAATTTTTCAAGGATGAGAGAGGATATCTTTTTAGGAGCAAAATAGTGATTACCCCCCCCCCCCCGGGAACCATAGTTTTTACTTTTGCATGCTGACACTTACACTTAAACTTAAAGACTTAAACTATCTACCTAATTTACCAAACTATAACTACCTAACTACCAAGTACTTACCTCCCCACCTACCTACCTAACTACCAATCTTTCTACATTCTCAAGTACTTACCTCCCCACCTACCTACCTAACTACCAATCTAACTACATACTCAAGTACTTACCTCCTTACACACCTACCTACCTAACTACCAATCTTTCTACATACTCAAGTACTTACCTCCCAACCTACCTACCTAACTACCAATCTTTCTACATTCTCAAGTACTTACCTCACCACCTACCTACCTAACTACCAATCTAACTACATACTCAAGTACTTACCTCCTTACACACCTACCTAGCTCCCCACCTACCTTCCTACCTCCCTTATATCTTCCTACCTACCTACCTACCTACCTGCCTACCTACCTACCTACCTGCCTACCTACCTACCTACCTACCTTCCTATATCTATTATCTAGAGAGTGCCCTGAGACTGCTACCTAGAGAAACTAGAAACTCAGCCCTGGATCTTCTAAACAGGAGAAAAATGTTCAGGTTTAGATACTTTCAGATTCAGATTCATACTTAGATAAGATTTAGATTAGATTAGATTAGATTAGATTAGATTAGATTGAGATTAGATTAGATTAGATTATATTAGATTAGATTAGATTAGATTAGAATCTCTTCCATCTCTTCCATCTCTTCCATCTCTTCCATCTTTTCCATCTCTTCCATCTCTTCCACCTCTTCCATATCTTCCATCTCTTCCATCTCTTCCACTTATCTCTTCCATTTTTTTCTTGTCTGTGGTGTGAAAATCCACGAATTGAATACAATGGAATTGAGTTTTATCACAAACTTTGATTTTCTAATCTTTATATCTTAACAACCCAATGTCGGAGACCTTGGATATTTCAAAATGTAATTTCTGTTAGATCAAATAATCTAAGTTTGAAATATCAAAAGTTTACAAAATTATGTGTAAGATATAGAGATAAGAAATTTGAGTTTTTGATCTATAAATAAATCTCCATTTTGACGACTACGAATTTTCAGTTTTAAGTAAATTACAAAGTCTGAAGATTGATATGATAAAAGATGTTTGTTCTATAGCAGTGATTAAAAGTTGCAGTTTTGGTTTATATTTTTGTTGTAGTTCTGCAGTTCACAAACTAGGGGAATTAAAACTTGGACAAGATCTTTCTCTAAATACTGAAGAGAAGGGAGAACCCGGAAAAGAAGGGGAACCTGGAAAAGAAGGGGAACCTGGAAAAGAAGGGGAACCTGGAAAAGAAGGGGAACCTGGAAAAGAAGGGGAACCTGGAAAAGGGGAACCTGGAAAAGAAGGGGAACCTGTAAAATGGGAACCCGGAGAAATATTGAATTTTGGGGAATCTATAGGTGAGATATAACTTAGGAAGGGAAATAAATAAGTACAATGAGAACCAGAAAACTCTCGAATTGGAAGACGACTTTAATACTCTATTTTTAATAAAAATAGCACATTGTACATATCCATGACATTCACTATTCTGAACCCGTAACTAATCCCACCATAGTTTCAGTCGAAGTAAATATTTCCATTTACTGATAGCGCCGATTGAAGGATTCATATCTCTAATTGGATAATGAGATAGATAGAAAGATAAATGTTACCGCCATACTATTACTATTGGTTCAGAATATACAACAAACACATGACTGAACCATGATTGAATGAGGCGCTAATGGACTCGGCATACAGGAGTGATCCCCCCCTCTATCTTTCTGTTACATCCTAAAGGAACTTATTTCTCTCTTCAATCCTTTAAAATTCTTAAATCTCATGCAATGTGAAGTCATAACTTTTGTGTTGTGAATCTTGGATTCAAGCATTGATCTCCATCTTATGCAGGCATACGGAGTAATTTCTTCTTCTTCTTCGATACACTCCTGTATGCCGAGTCCATTAGCTTCTAATCCAATCAGGGTGCATTCATGTGTTTGTTGTCTATTCTGAACCAATAGAAATAGTATGGCGGTAACATCTAATCTAATCTAATCTAATCTAATAATTTATTTTTCCGTTGAAAATATGACAGTTTGTGCATAAAAATTGCATATCTATATGATTAATATTTATTATCAACGGAAGGAAAGCAGCCATAGCAGAGCTGTTTTCAGGTTGGTCTCCTGTCAGTTTACCGTGGTATTTATTAGAACTGAATTGAAACGTCGTGGGACTGCGTTTGGATAAGACGGAGGAACAGGGTCAGATTTGCTCAATTAACATGTTTTAAATTTGGTTCTTGATTTGAGACAGTAGGTAGAAAACAGAAACAGAGGCGCCAGGAACTTTTGCATTCCTAATTTTTTTGGCGCTGCAAAAAAAATAGCAAAAAATTAAGGTCCACCCATTAACAATACATTTTTCAAAAAAAGCAATGCCAGAGCACCGATTTTTATAAGGATTTAAAAAATGCAAATTTCTTGACTTAAAAATCCATTGTCATAGAAAGAAGATTATGTGTATGCAGTTAAAAATGACGATCAACTAGAGCATGACCAGCAAAATAGTTTGTTGCAAATAAAAATGTCCCTCTTTAACAGCAAATGATTTTTAATCGTAGATTTAAAAGAAAGTTTATTAGTAATACTTGAAATTTCAGGATTATTCCGACATTTAGGCAAATCAAAGAAAGGAAATCGACGTAAAGATTCATTAGCAACTCTTGGGATAAAATATTCATCCGAGTTTCTTAAATTATACAGGTTCATAGTTAATACAGAGTTTTTTACAAAAAAATTTCCAAAAGATACTGGACTATAGTTTTTATCAATTGAATGCATTAACATAAGTTTCTGCTGAAGGATTAAATCATGAAAGGGTAATATCTGAGTAGAGTGAAACAATGGCTCAGTATGAGCGTTGAATTTAGATTTCGAGATAATTCTGACACATTTTTTTTGCAAAAGGAATAACGAGTTTAAAGATTTTAGCGAGGCAGACGAGTAGATAGGAAAGCAGTATAGAAAAAGAGGATGAACTAGAGCATAATAGAGAGACTTTAAGGCAGAAGACGACAATAAATGCTTAGCTTTACTAATCGGGAATAACGCCTTAGATATCTTGTTTCTAGTTTGCTTAATATGATATTCAAAATTAAGATTTTCATCGAGAAAAACGCCAAGCATTTTAAAAGCCGGAACCCTTGAACTGTTATTAATCCTTTCAATAGGGAAAATGAATCTGGGATCGGGAAAAGAATTCAAATCATTGCAACTAAAAATAAACTGAAAATCTTCAACTTTTTTTTTGCTTAGGATGAAAGACTATAATTTTCGTCTTGGTAGTATTAATTGCAAGTTTATTGGCTCTCTTTCTATTTATCTCATTATCCAATCAGAGTTATGAATCCTTATATCAGCGATATCAGTAAATGGAAATATTTACTTCTACTGAAACTATAGTGGACATCAGATTTCAAAGTGTCTACATGGGATATTAAGATCAAGTGTTTAAGATGAATAACACTATGATTTAATAGCCAAAGTTTGAAATTTTAATTTGTCAAGCTATAGGGTTTTTTTGAACATCTCTCACTTACACACCTCGGAATAGGTTTAGACAATTATATTTGTATAAATATATATATGGATCACATCTATACATATTTAACAACTACAAAATACTGGATTGCAGATTTATGGTTTCTTGTTCCCGCATTTCCACTGTCTGTGCAAAGACGATATATGGTCGCTATAGTTTAGAAATATAGAGTTTGGGACACACTATAGTTTCAGTAGAAGTAAATATTTCCATTTACTGATAGCGCCCATTGAAGGATCATAACTCTAATTGTATAATGAGATAGATAGAACGATATATGTTACCGCCATACTATTTCAATTGGTTCAGATAAAGACAACAAACACATGACTGAACCCTGATTGGATCAGGCGCTAATGGACTCGGCATACAGGAGTGGGCAAGTGTTTAGTTCCTGTACAACAGTGTGTCTCAAAATATTTAAACATGTAAATCTTTGTATTTATACATGTTGAGGCATTTATGCATTTATGTAAAATTCTTTAAAACGTTTTTTATATATAACGTTTTAGTGTTGGAGAAAATCCTGGTTCGAGATACAGATACGGATATAGGTATTCGTCCGGGCCCTGGTTCTAGACAGTACCAGGAGAAGTTTGAAACCTTTAATCCAGAATCAGAGATTGGAAACGAAGAAAATGCAGAAAGATTAAAAAGGTTAAAAATTGTAGAAAAACGGTCATATTTCTATTGATTATCTTAATTTATAATAATTCCATTTTTTTTGTATTTCTCTCCTACATTCAGATCTGAGTAGTATTGTTGGTCGTTTATTTCTTTTTTAAAGCTTTTAACAAAATTTCTTATATTCTGTCTTTTATTATTTATTTCTTTATTTTTTTTAAAAATATAAATAAACAAAAACGATCCAAAAATTATCGTCATCTTTTCGTTTTCGGGTCGTTTCTGGTTCGTTTTTGGGTCGTTTCTGATTAGTTTTTGGGTAGTTTCTGGTTTGTTTTCTGGTCGTTTCTGGTTCGTTTTCGGGTCGTTTCTGGTTCGTTTTCGGGTCGTTTCTGGTTCGTTTTCGGATAGTTTCTGGTTCGTTTTCGGGTCGTTTCTGGTTCGTTTTCGGGCCGTCTCTGGTTCGTTTTTTGCCTTTATTTTCTGCCAGGGTCAAATTGGGCTAAGTGTAAGAACAGCAAATGTTTAAAATCAACGATTTTCCTCTACTATGACAAATTTGGATCCTAAATGAAAATAAAGGCAAAAACCCAACCAACTTATTGCACATCACTAGAGCTGAGAGAATGGAACAGTTAAGAGAAGAACTGAAGAACCTGGACCAGGATACAGAGAGGAAAAGATCAGGATACAAAAACCTTAGACGGGATATACAGGAGTATAGAGCTAAACTAAACCTTCTCCAGGTATAGGTATTAATACAAGAACCTTAGACGTAATATACAGGAGTATAGAGCTAAACTAAACCTTCTCCAGGTATACGAATTGATACAAGATACTTAGATGAGATACACAGGAGTATAGAGATAAACTAAATCTTGTCCAGGTAGGTATTGATACAATATCCTTAGACGGGATATACAGGAGTATATGGACAACTAAACCCTCTCCGATTTTGTGTTACAGTATATAAGGCGAACTGATGAGAAATACTGGAGCATACAGATAATTTAAACTTTCTCCAGGTTTGTAAAAAAGTAAATAAAGAGATCTGATGAGATATATTGGAATATACAGATAACTTAAATCTTCTCCAGGTTTGTAAAAAAGTAAATAAAGAGATCTGATGAGATATACTGGAGTATACAGATAATCTAAACCTTCTCCAGGTTTGTAAAAAAGTAAATAAAGAGATCTGATGAGATATATTGGAATATACAGATAACTTAAATCTTCTCCAGGTTTGTAAAAAAGTAAATAAAGAGATCTGATGAGATATACTGGAGTATACAGATAATCTAAACCTGCTTCATGGGTTTGTATATATAAAGAGATCTGATGAGATATACTGGAGTATACAGGTAATCTAAACCTTCTTCATTGGTTTGTAAACAAGTAAATAAAGAGATCTGATGAGATATACTGGAGTATACAGATAATCTAAACCTTCTTCATGGGTTTGTAAAAATAAAGAGATCTGATGAGATATACTGGAGTATACAGGTAATCTAAACCTTCTGCATGGGTTTGTATAAATAAAGAGATCTGATGAGATATACTGGAGTAAACAGATAATCTAAACCTTCTTCATGGGTTTGTAAAAATAAAGAGATCTGATGAGATATACTGGAGTATACAGATAAACTAAACCTTCTTCATGGGTTTGTAAAAATAAAGAGATCTGATGAGATATACTGGAGTATACAGATAATTTAAACCTATTTCATGGGTTTGTATAAATAAAGAGATAATTTAAATCTTCTCCAGGTTTGTAAAAAAGTAAATAAAGAGATCTGATGAGATATACTGGAGTATACAGATAACCTAAACCTTCTCCAGGTTTGTATAAATGTAAATAAAGAGATCTGATGAGATATACTGGAGTAAACAGATAATCTAAACCTTCTTCATGGGTTTGTATAAATAAAGAGATCTGATGAGATATACTGGAGTTTACAGATAATCTAAACCTTCTTCAAGGGTTTGTATAAATGTAGAGTGAGAACCAGAAAACTCCGGAATAGGAAGACGAATTTTGGATTCAAGTTATGACTTTAAATAGTTGAATGAACGTAAGACCCAGAAATTGTGCAGGGTAAGCAGACTCATTTTCCCTCATCAGTGATTTAATAAGTTACTAGTAAAACTATATATCTATGTTGATGCAAGAAGATTTAAGTTATTTAACCACTTAACCTTTAAATTATCAAGAAATGCTGAGAAATCTTTGCTTTTTCTTTTAGACAAAGTCTAAGATAAACTTACTGAAGTTTAATAATGATTTTATTTTATAGACCAAAGATGAAACTCTTGCACAGGAGACAGAAGAGTCAGATAAAGAAAGAATAAAAATAGAAAACATCTCAAAGCTGTTACCAGGTATCAAGATATTTATTTTAAACAATATAAAAAAAGAAAGCACTTTTTTGCATCGAGATAATTAAACTGCAAACCCTTTGACCTTAATTGCCCCTTCAGGAACTTATCCCTCCCTCAACTTGGAACAAAAGACCCAATTAAAACAAATTACAATTTTTCATTTTTTGGACTCCTCCGCTCCACTAAATACAATCTAAACATTTTTACTTTGGATTTATGCAGCAGAAAAAAAAGGACTTAGACAGAATTTATCACATTTAAAAGAGGTTTACTGGAAATTAGGTAGAAAGTCCTGTTAAGAGAATGGTTGGTAATGGAATTGGTTTCTACTCCTTCATGTATCGTGACGAAAGCTGGGTTTTAATTTAGTTTCTACACAATCAAATGATGAAAAACAAATAATTGTTTAAAGTTTGTAAAGTTAAACTTTGAAATAATTATGCATTTAATTAAATGTTTGATTATAAGTTTAACAGGTATAGACTATTGACCGCTTTATGGAAAACGCACCTACGTCTTTTTCGACCTAACCAGTTCAGATTATATATTTTAAAAGGTTCGCTTACGGGTACGAAAGTAAAAAAGAAAACTTTATATTTTTAATAAAAGTATCCATAACAAAACTAAACAGAAGAAAAAAGCTTTTTATAAAGGATTTATTTAGCTTTTTTAAAATACACAAAATACCTCTATTTTTTATATGTAGTAAGAAACAAAACTAAACCATGCAATCTTAGTAATTGATAGTTTTCGCCAGAAAATTCGGATTTCCGAAAAATATCGGAGGTTTTAAAATAAAGATTTGCTAAGTTGTGTTGTGAACCAAAAAATTATAATGTGAAATATCAAATCTGAGAATAACCCTTTAAAGTTTAAAATGTAAAATTATTGTTGCTGCTAAATGGAGCTCAGAACTACAGTGATGTTCTTAATAACCCGGAATAATATGAATTCATTGATAAATTCTAAGTCGTCTTTTACCTTAGAAAAACCTTGCGGCATTCAAGTCAACATAGATAACCTGTTTTAGCAATATATTTTTATAAAACAATAGTTACATAATAGCCCTAGCCCTGGCATTTCCAAAATGTGGTCTGCCTTTTCTGTGCTTTCATAATTACCTGAGATATAAATGATTTCGTACAGAATGAGACATTTTCATGGTTTTATTTAATAAATTAAAATTTAAACCAAATAATATCTCTAGTATTTTAGAGAGCGGAAAAATGGCAGACTACCTTTTGGAAATGGCAGGATAATGGCTATCCTTTGGCTACGCTCAGTTTAACACGACCGAAGTTTAAATAAATACTTTATTGACTAAACTTATTGAAAATCTAAATTTAAGAAATCGAAAATATATATATCAAGGTGACGTGGCAGAATCAGAGCTCATCTTGCCGCGTCTGAATATCCGGCTTCTAACTCCTCAGATCGTCTTCCGCCACAGTACTCCCCCCAAGAAGGCAAGGCGGAGTCAAGGCGGAGCTAAGACTTCTTTTCTGACTTGTCTGTGAGGGTTTCTTCTTGGTATGATTATAGGTTGGTTTAAAAACATCACAGATTTCTTCTTTGAGGCGGACGACTTCGCGGCGGAGGAAAGGTCAGGAGGATCCTTTGACTGGCGAAGAGGAGGACGACCTAGAGGCGGAGGAGTTACAGGGATCACTGGAACATCAGATATCACTGGTTTAAGCCGGTCTACAGAAACTGAGTCTACTTTGGTACCAATCTGGAGGCGGAAGAATTTACTCCGCCGTTCTATAACTTGGTAGGGACCACGGTAAAGAGGACTGAGTGAGGGTTTGCTGGCATCTTCTCGAACAAACACAAACTTGGCTGCTTTCAGAGCTGCAGGAATCTCAACTGAAGGCGAATGTTGCACATGATGAGGTGGAGGGGTTGAAAACCCGGCAATTACTTTCTCCACTTTGCTGATAAATTGTGAACTTGGAATTTCTGGGGCATCTAGGAATTCACCAGGAATTGACAGGGGAGAACCATATACTGCCTCTGAAACGGAAAAACCAGTATCTTCTTTGGGAACTGAACGGAGTCCCAACAAAACTAGAGGAAGATGAGAAACCCAATCGGAGTCAGCAGCTCTGGCTCTGAGAGAGGATTTGAGGGATCTGTGAAAACCTTCAATCATACCATTTGAGGGTGAAAACTTGTTGTTTGAGAGGTAGAGATACCAAGAACTCGACAGACTCCGGCCCACACTGAGGAAGTAAACTGAGCTCCTCTGTCGGAAGTCAATGTTGATGGAACTCCAAACCTTGAGACCCAGGAGGAGATGAAAGCTCTGACGCAGGATTCCGTGGAAATTGAAGATAAAGGAACTGCTTCTGGCCAGCGCGTAGTCCTGTCGATCATTGTTAATAGATAGGAGTAACCCAGACTGGACGGTAGAGGACCAACTATGTCGATGTGAACATGAGAAAAACGTCTCGAAGGAACAGGAATTGCAGGAACAGAAGCTTTCACATGACTTTGAACTTTGCTCCGTTGACACTGGAGACAAGACCTGGCCCACAACCCAACATCTCGAGATAAATCAGGCCAGACAAAACGCGGAGAATAGTTGGAACCAATGGTCTAAGGTTTCCTGTAGAATTATCACAAATTAAAATATCACCGGAATCCAGGGTAATGTTCACAATTGAGAGTGAAGATAATTTCTTCATTGCTTCCACTGAAGAGCAAGATTTCTGTAAAGATAACAGTTCCAAAAAATTAAAACCTGGAATTGAAAAATCTTGATTGATTGCTTGGTTGCTTGTCACAGACGAAGGTTGAGGATCTGACACCGCCGACACCTCCGACACCTCCGACACCTCCGACACCTCAGACACCTCAGGAGCGGAATCTTGGAAGGCAGGAGGATCCGGAGCAATGTGGGATGATTTGGAGCTTGGGAGTAGGGGTGGAGAAACCGGAGAAACTGGAGAAATTACGGTAGGGGGCGGAGCTGACTTGGAACGAGAGGGAGACGGAGATACAGGAGCTGGAGCTGTGGTCAGTATATAACGAGAATTCTCTACCTTCTAACATGAAGCGGAAGTGTCTGATAGACAGATAGGCAGCCAGGAGTTCTCTGTCGAAGGTGGAGTACTTCTTCTCTGCTTCTGATAATTTCCTGGAAAAAAATGACAAAGGAGCCCAGGTATCCTGAATTCTCTGTTGTAGTACGGCGCCAACGTGAGAATCCGAGGCATCAACAGCAATGGAGATTGGTGCAGATGGACGAGGATGAATCAGCTCAGGAACCCTGACGAGAAGGTCCTTGGCACGGCGGAAGGCAACATCGAGGTCTGGAGTCCATGTGAGCGCTTTACTAGTCCCCTTCAGAGTGTCGGTCAAGGGAGCTAGTACTCCAGCAGCCCCCCGGAGAAATTTCCTGTAGAAGTTAAGCATGCCGAGAAACCTTTGCAGAGATGGTTTGTCAGCTGGAACCGGGAACTCAGAAACTGCTGTTGTATGCTTGACCAGAGGAGAGCAGCCCGTAGCAGAGACTAGATGACCCAGGAACTCGATCTCAGGAACTGCAAATACACATTTCGGCAGACCAATAGTCAATCCATGCTGTCGACATAGTAAAAGAACCTCACGGAGATGATCTACATGCTGTTCTAGGCTGCTGCTGAAGATTAGAATGTCATCGACGTAGACGAAACAATAAGGTAGGTCGCCGAGGATGGAGTCCATCATCCTCTGGAACGTGTTCCCAGCATTCCTGAGACCAAACGGGAGGCGAAGAAACTCGAACATGCCGAAAGGAGTGACGATCGCTGTTTTACAAATGTCTTCTTCAGCCATCGGAACNAGGTCTAACGGCGTTGATAGAGAGTTCCTCCTCCGGAGTGCTGGAGACTGAGTATACCTGAGAAGATGAAACCCTACTCTTGTATATTTCATCTGCTTTAAGAGCAAACGAGATCGGGTCGGAGAAATCGTCTCTGATCAGATGGGCGCGAATATCTGCGGGTAACCTCTTGAGGAAAGCTCCTTTAAGGAAAAAACACGGCTCATGACCAGAAGGAAGTAAGGCCAGCATGTTTGACATTAGTTTAGAGGGTTTCATATCACCAGATAAAGGAAGATTAGAAATCGCCTCGTACCTCTGGTAGTCGTCGAGGGCGAATAACTTCAGCAGGCGGTTCTTCAGAGCTCCGTAGGGATCAGCTGCGGGAGGAGACTTGATGAGATCGAGAACTTGATTAGCAGTATCTTGGTTGAAGGCGGAGACGCAGTAATAGAACTTCGTAGAGCTGGACGACACTCCCTTGAGCGCAAACTGGGCCTCGACCTGGATGAACCAGGCTTCCACAGACTCTGGCCAGAAGGCCGGAACCTTAACTGATACTGTGTTCAACAGATCTAAAGAGCTTGGTTCGGTTCGAACCGGGACCTTATCACCGTCCTTGCTCATGTTCACTTGACCGAGTAGCTTAAAAAAGTCTATAGTGTTGAAACGAACAGTCTATAGGAGCGAAAGACTCGGGGTCACCAAATTTAGCTACGCTCGGTTTGATCAACAACTAGTTTAAATAACTACTTTATTTACTTGACTAAAAAACTATATAAATTTACTTTGAAAAATCATATATCTTGAAACTAGGTGACGTGGCAGGAAATTCAAGAGAAGCCTGCCGCGTTCAAATATCCGGCTTCAGGTTGGATCGTCTTCCGCCACAATAAAACCTTTCAACAATATTTTTTATGTATTTCAGGATTGCATTGAAACATTTCAATTGTAAGTTTTGCCAAGTGTTTTTCAAAGAACTAAACATTTAATTTTACAAATGGCTCTGGTACAATTACAGTTTATAACAAAATTGGAAAAAAATTTATCCCAATTATGTTATTCTTAATCGTGCAGGCTTCCGAAAGATGTTATAAATAAAATCCTCTTTTCTTCAAGTTAATCAAATATCAACTTTTTATTGAAACAAAAAATCTTGTCTATTTCTATATATTTAACTATCTATGTTAATATCTACTTATTAATCTTCTATGTAATTTAATCTAATTTATTTACTTTACTTGTCTGTTTGTCTGTCTG